TATACAGCTATAAAATTTCATGTAGAGCGACATCTTTTGGTATTTTCTTCATTCTTCTAAAATGGAGGCTACCCTCCATATTAGTCCTCACAACATGCTGGTTTCCAATAAACCCGTTGAGCAGAGGACGACTGCTGACGGCACTAGACCAACGAACAGATCGACTCTACTATCGGTGAGGACATGCAGAATTTGAGGGGGTAGAATATCAGAACTTCAGTGGTGCTGGAAAGATTGTGAAAGAATAAAGGCAGGTAACGTAACTGAAATTTGATCTCATGCGATCTATCCTTTGAAGAAAACATAGCATCTTTATTACCAGCACTGTACGATAAAAAAGTCTGTGAATTGGCACGTTAGTTTTGCGGAAGATCACTCAAACATTATGCAGTGCGTTGTGCTAGAAGTGCCGTTGGCGCACTTCGGTATTTTTTGAACTACACTGATCACTAAAACCTTGGCCAGAATCTTTTATAGAATATAGTCGATAAGGTAAAAATTGGGTATATTTGGGCTTTAACTTAAAATTAGGCTTAGATTTAAACTAAGGTTTGTGCTTAGGTTTGTTTTTGGGCTTATGCTTGTTCTTAAGTATAAGATTCAAACATATTAGAAGGCTTATGCTAGCATTTGGCTCAGTTTCCGGTTTGGGTTGGAACCTATTCCCATGATTATGTTTAGGTTTATGCTCAGACTTAGACATGAGTTGATGCTTAACATTATTCTTAAGATTAGGCTTAAGGTTATGCTGAGGCCCACGTTAGTTTTGAGGTTTAGTATTAGGCTTCGGCTTAGGCTAAGGCCAGAGATTACTCTTAGGCTTAGGCAAAATTTGAAGCGTAGGCTCAGTTTACACATAGTCTGTGCTTATAATTATGATCATGCCTAGGCTTAGGCATAATCCAGTAAATAACCTCAGGCGAGGCTTAGAGCTTGGTTCAGTCAAAGGCTCAGACTTATGGTAAGTGTTAAATCCAGGCTTTCCTAGGTCCTGTACTTAGAGTTAGGCTGTTGCATATGTCGATGCTTAGAATATCATTAGGCTTGAACTTAGAATTAAGTTTAGCCGTAGGCTAAAGCTCAGCCTTAGCCTTTGGTTAATGTTTCGATTTACGCTTATTCTTACCCCTAGGTTTAAGCTTAGAATTTTGCTCAGCCTTATGCATGAATCAGCATTTGGCTTATGCTTAGGAGTTAGTCTTAACATTTTCTTAAGCTTACAACTAGGCTTAATCTTGGGCTGAGGTGTATAGTTTCTCTCAGACTTTTGCACAGGTTAAAACTTAGGCGTGGGCCTAAACATGGGCTGAGATTTTCTTTTATTCCTAAAGTTTATCTTTTAATTGCCCCTATGCCTGGTCATACCGTTCTTCTTCAGCTTGCGCTTGTTCTTACCCTTAGATACTACTTTAGCGATTGTCAAAACCTACGCCTAAATGTAAGTTTGAGCACAAAGTTACGCTTAAGGCTCATCCAAAGCGAATCGATCTCTAAACAGCATCTAACGCCAGAAAATTTTCTACAACAGACTTAACACGGCTTTCAATTCCACTTCCTCAATGTCGAGGGTATAAAAAGCTGCTAAAATATTATACTTTCGGCGCGAAATTGTGTGAACTGAGTATTCGTCAGTTTTTGAAGATTATCATCTACCCGCCATTAAACGAGGTTGATCTG